GAAGTGGATTGTTCGAGATAATTCATGGTGCAATTATCCTATCAATTTTTTGAAGTAAAACGGGCTAAGTTTCATCCTCTTTTTTGCCCTCCTTTAAAGAAACGTCACGCTAATTTTTAATTTCTTACATGCACTTTAAATGAAGACGATATGCCAATAAAAAATTTTAAAAAGAAGGAAAATGATATTAATACTTTTCAAAAAATCGACACTCCTTAAATTTCATCTAATGCAAATGAAGGAATACCTACTTTTTTGAGAAATGCTAATTTTCTAAAAAAAAAAAAATTTGTGCAAGAAGTTTGAAAAAGGTATTTGACTGCCATTTCCTCGTTTTCACTGTAGACTCTTTTTTCAACGGTTCATCCACAGCTCAACAGCGGCAACGTGGCACACAAATTCAAACACGTCATCTTCTGTTAATTGTAACCCCAATATTTAAGTACACAGTATTTCATTTCACTTGTATCACTACTTTTTTGTGATATAATTTTGCGAAAAAGCATTCCTCACTCGAATTCATGAATGAGAATAAACACAAGAATGATAGTAGAATTGTTTTTTGTTGGGAGGGAAAGAGAGAGAGAGGGGGGGAATTGCACCAGCAAAGAAGGAATAAACTGTAAAAACCATATCAAGTGCGTCATAAAATACTGATAAGAACCCACAAAACAGAAATCAGAGACCATTTTGAATATCTACATAAAGGTCAGGTAAACCACTGTACTAGAAAGTAGAGGCAAGGGTTTATTTTCATTTTACAGACATCGCTTCATTAGGACAACCAAACATCGGAGAAGACAAAACTGGATATTTAAGTACTGTGGATTTCACCTGCACAAAGATGGGGTTTTAATTAAGATAAGTTCATTTCTTGCGAGAAAGTGCCGCAGCAATGCCACCAGCCAAAAGACCAACAGCAGTGGCAGCAATGCCCATCCCAATCACTCCATCTGCAACAGAGGAAAAGGAAAACCAGAAAGTATTAGCCATTGGCTTCTTAAATCAACTTGAAGTAACTAATACTTCCCTTCATGAGTCGTATATGTGTCGCTCAAAGGAAATACAGTGTTTACTAAATTTAAAGCCAAAAAAAAAAAAATCAGGTTACCACCTTTTGTAATTTTTTCTTCAATTGTTTTCTTGAGGCTTAAGGCTTGCCTCCAATCAGGTGCAACCTGCAGAAACCATGAGTAACATTTTTCAACTTACAAGTCAAACAGGGGAGAGGCCAAAATATATGGGAACCTGTCCTTAATTTACAGGGTATTTAAGGATGACAAATATATTAGCCTTTTGCTTTCTATACGGTAACTCAGATACATAAAGAGCCCTTTTTCAGTCAGTGAACATGAAAGTAATTATTACGACTTTCAGTTTGTGAAGATCAGACCTCCAAACAGCGCTCAACAAGTTGTCTGCTCCTTGTGTAGTCTCCACTTCTATAGTAACCCACAGCCAGGAGATAAATTCTTTCCCTAGTTTGCAGTGGGCTACCACTGCCAGACAGAGAAGCTGCAAACATGGTTTACAGTTAATATCAACCATTTCAACACAAGAAGAGGGAAAAATCAAGAGAGACAATTTCCAACCCGCTATGCAAAAGAAACTTCATTTAAAGATGTAAAAGGAAAACATACGTAAAAAATAATATATATATATATATATATATATATATATATATAGAGAGAGAGAGAGAGAGAGAGAGAGAGAGGACAAAGGGTGGTAAACAAAATAATGAAGAGAGGGAGGTAGAATAGTAAGAAGTATTGCTGCATAAAATGCGAAGTGCATTGTAGCAGAAAGGTCTACCTCATCCAACTAATAATTTACTGTGAAGCGCATGCTAAAATTTCAGGAACTATGCAAACAATGAAGCAGTTATTACCCAACCACAAGATTGGCAACATAGAAGAAATAGGCAAGTCAGCTAGACAAAATCAAAATGCAAGTCAAAGGGACAGAATAAAAATCCCCAGGTAGCCAAATTAAAAAGAGTAACACATAAAGATGAAAGAGACAAAGTAACATGAGAATGTAAAGAAAGAGAAAAAGACACAGGGCAGGAAAATGGGAGGAAGAAATAAACAGGGGAAATCAGTCATATACTGTTTTCCATTTTCTTCAAGAAAACATGTATGGTTCAAGAAGGATTTTCTGATGAACGTACACAGAAATAGCAGGGGTAGAAAAGGGCATGTGCGGATACCTTTGCCCTAGCATGTAGTGCATTGATCAACAGCAAACATTACAAATACCAAGAGTTGACAAGTGCATTATCAGCAGAGCTACCAATGGGAAACCATGTGGTATTTTATAAAAATGGAAGAAAGGAGGAGGAAGAAAAACTGCAAAAGTTACATTCCCTACCCGAGAAAGAATCAAACACTAAATGTCCCGATACACCACTGAAGCAGAAAAAGGTGAAAAAGACGAAAGCAAGTTCTACTAGAATCAAAACCTTATAACCTCAAACAGCGATTCAGGAAATTCCATTCATTTTACTTAAAAAGAGTACCATGAAAAAATCGCATGGATAAACCCACAAACTCAAAGATTTGCACAAAAACATGCAGCAAAGAGAGAGAGAGACCCATGTTTATCATTTCCAAACTGACCTTCGAGCATTGCTATCCCTCGTTGTACATCCTCTGGCCTTTTTGAGTGAACAAGAGCCCAGGACAAGCGCATGATACATTCACTTTTAAGTTCATCAGTGGAACCTTTCTCAGCCTCAGCAACTTCACGTTCACAACCCTGTAGACATGATACTATTTAAATCAGCGAAGGGAAATTACATAATGTAAACAAGTAAGAAGAGAAGTATGCCATGAGCATGTTGGCACAAATGTGCAACCAAACAAACAACCTAGCAGTGATGACACATGACTGTACCAAATGCAGTTTGAGAAGTAGCATAAGAATATCATCACAAAAAATGCATGTTAATCCCTAGGTATAACCAACTTCATAGGCCACAGATTCTATAACAACATTTTCAGAGTAAACAACCAGCAAGCAAGGGATAGAGAAGATATTAATTGTTTAAGTCCACCATCCAAAACAGAAAGGCTTCAGTTGCTTGAAAACAAATACAGCTGTCATTATCTGGCTCATCTTATGAATACTTTATTAACTCCGACAAACCCATTTTAATAAAAGGAGTACTGCTAACTCTTTTGCCTACATCAGTTTCTATAGTTCCATACCCAAAGAACACAGATAAAACCAATACTGCTCCAAATTCCAATGAATCATTTATAAAAGGAAGTCATTCTCACTATCGAAAAATGAGATTCAAGAAATCTACATACAAATATAAAGCATGTATGATTGATACTACTCAACATTGCAATATATACACACACCATTCCATGGAATGTACCTTAATTTGCTTTGGAAACTTATTATAAAGGACAAGATGATGAGTTTAAAATACTTCCATAGTCATAAGACGAAAAATAATTTTCTGTTGGTTTTGAAGGACAGCTGTTTATTCCAATAGTTTAACAGAGTTCAAGGGCAAATAATCAGGCTAACTTACTATTCGTTTTAAAGACAGCAGTTTAATAGTTTAACAAAGTTTGAGGTCAAATAATTAGGCAACATACTGTTGGCCCTATCATGATTCTAACTGTTGCATTTCCCAAAATTCTCAGTCAGAAAGCCTGTGACAGTTGAATTAATTCATTCACCCATAAATACAGGTCAATAACAAAAACTGGAAATGCATCAAGCACCCAAAGGAAAAAAACATCAAGGCTGTTCTTGGGACAAAAAACCACTCATAACACATACATCACCATACACCTCAAACTCCGATCACAAGATCCAATGGGCCAAACACGCTTAAACTTAATTTGTTTTCCTGTTGTATTTTTCTGGGAATTACTGTAAATGCCAAGTCAGGTTCAGAGGTTGGAGTTCGAATTTCAGGATTACAATGATTTTCCTACAAGAAACTTAAACGTTCAACCTCCCACCAATTCCTAAGAGCAGCAAAATATTTTCTTTTTCAGAGAGAGGCGGAAAAAGAAAATCTGGCAGCTGTGAGTTAAGACACTGAACAATACAAAAGCCTGTAACTAAAAATTTTAAATTTAGACTTGATTTTGGCAGCAACTGCTCAGGGTTTAAATTCAAAATTCTAGTAAATCTTATTTAATTAGGTTTTTGAAGTATTATCTTGGATTTATTGTACCCCAATCACCAAATCCCCAAATCCCCAAACTTCCAAACCCTAATTGAATTTCACGAATTCAAAAAATGCTGCATGCAATAATCACGCATAAATGGTGATCCTACACGAATAGAGAGATATACATGGATGGAAGAACTTACCGCCACGATGTCGGAGTCGCACCAGGGAATCTGGTCACCGCCGCTGAAGAAATTTCCGACAGACTCGAAGAATTTCGCCATCTTAGCTTCCATTTCCTTTCTTACTTTCTCTTTTATGTTTTATTATATCTTATTCCTCTATTCTAGTTTCTTCAGGAAATATTATTGGATCAAGTAGGAGCGGCAAAGAAAAGAGAACTTGCTTTTTAAGTCAAAGTTAAGCCTTAAAATTAAAGCTTTAAATATTGGGAGACTTTTTTTGTTTTTTTGGAATTATTTTGTGTGTGTGAACTCTCGACTGGAACTTAAGCATTAAGCAGTGGTAGCGGCATCTTTGTCTTGTTTTTGTTTTCATTTTTTTTTTAGTACTTTGTGAAAGAGAAAGATAAGAAAAAAAAGGGATAATTGCAGAAACCTCCCCTGAGGTTTCTGAAATTCCACAAACCTCCCCTAAAACTTGATAGGCAATGCCAAAATAGACCCAATTTAAAAATACAAACAATAAAAAATTAGTATCTGGAGAGAGAAACAAGTGTATACCACAAATGCCCTCATTATCTTGGGTTAGAGAGCTAATCCGATGTGAAGAATTGGGAGGGAATTTAAGAAGAATGAAACTTGAGGGGGTGTAAGTGAGACCAATCAACAGACAAGCACACAACGTCAGGGGAGGTTTTAGTGGAGGGTTCTTACTTCTGGTTATTAGATTAGTGGAGCAATGCTCTTTCCAAAGTGTTCATAGTGTACAAAACAAGATTTAGAGCAGTTCATTAATGTAGAAAGCTATGATGAACATTGAGTGTCAGGAATTAAAACAACTGAGCAGAAAATCTCCCTTGTTTTCTTTACTTCAGCCATTCAGCAATGCTGTCAATCCACTGGTCACTGAAGCCTTAAGAGTAGGAGAAACTGAATCACTTCCCAGAAATACATCAAAAAGAGCTGATATCACATTTGTTGACTCAGTAGTTGCATCAACACCAGAAGGCAACCCATCACTCGATACAGAAACCTTCAGATTTTTTAAGAGAGTCAAGCTGATATGTTTACAAGAAAGAAAATAGCACAGTAGAAGCTTAAGACTAAGAAGAAAAGAGGAAACACATCTTTAGCAAAAAGCCATCAGTATATAAAGAAATGCAGGAAAATTGAATTTTACTACATGCAACTTACAAGCATTTTGGTAGAGTCCGGCCAAGTCAAGAAGATAATGGTACCCTTATTAAGAGGCCTTCCTTGAAACAGAGTACTAAATGTAGAAAGAGAGAGGTATCAACTGGAGTAGGCGATTTAATTCTTGGAGAGATGGCTTCATCTAAGGCATCCCAAAACGTTTTACCATCCACGTCTCTCACCAGAACAATTTGCAGAGATTTTTCCAAAGGAGCTGCAGTTTCCAATCAATATTAGCTTCTTAATTTACTTTTCCCTCTCCTCTCTTTCCTTGTTCAATCAGATTTGATAAATGCAAACAGTTTTATCCTAGTGAAATTGACTGATTCACATATAGCCCAGCAGCATACACCTTGACACCAATGATTGCAAAAACTCTCTCCCTGTATCCTGACATTATTGCAATAAATTTAATATTTGCAGAAGATAAATTTTTCAATCAGCAGCTACAATCCCAAATTGAATGGAATCATTTCAAAGTTCAAGCAGCAAGCTCCTTAATTTGCACTAAAAGGATGTTTGAGAAACTGACCAGTTCCAGTTAATGACATTGAGGTGGAGCAGCCTAGAATGCTTAATGACGTTCGGAACTTTACTTTTGTTGCAGGCTCCTCTGTATATTCTTTACTTTCAACTAAAGCATAACTCAATGGTAAAAGTGTCAGATTTCAGGCAGGATGATACATTATGATGCTATGACCTATTTTCATCGTTTGTATTTGATTTATAGCCCATCTTCTGCAATAAGCAAACTTGCTGCTGCATTCTCTAATAAAGGATGTCTAATGTATTTTAGGGATCTACCTTAGCCACTCTTACTTTTCTTCCCATACAATGGAGCACAATATCATGAACATCAGTGTTAACCATCCTACAATAGACAATCATAGCCTACTGAAGTTACAATATTAGTTATTGAAGTTACAGAAAATATTAGTTACAATATTAACCATCTTGCAACATTGGTTGTTGAAGTTACAGAGAAAGAATGAGCTCTCAAAGTACTGAGGTTTGGCATCTAACTATATCAAACAACCCAAGTAAGACGAGAAATATAGAATCAAGCAAGCATAATCTGGTAGAGGCTTAGCAAACCAAGTCACATGACAAACCAGAAAATCATAAGCAAACATATATCAAGCTTATACAAACAACGCACAAATCATCATAAGCTGCCAAGGAATGTTGAAACAGTCTCCGAAATCTTAAACACTTACCTGGTAAATTTTTCTGGTCAAGCTAAGAGACTCTTCAACAAAGCTTAGAATCAACAAGTTTGTTTGCCAACCATTAAGCTCAGTTGCTCTATCTCAACAATGGCGGGAGTCCAGTAAGTTTCTTGCTTCTATATGCACAGATTTTTTTCAAGCTGTTATGTCAATCAGATCAAGATCATGGCGCCTAAGTTTGGCTCCATTTCACTACACTCGCTTTTCTATTTTGGTTGTTAGGACTCTAATTTATGGTTAATTACATTAATTGTGTTTATAACTAACTTAACTAATAGCTTTCAGATAATCACGAAATATTAGCAAAATTGTAAGGGTCTTTAAGTCTTTTTGGCACCAATGATGTAAGAAATGGGACCTCACCATCTGACAAGGGAGGTTTGTGGAGGTTTCTGAAATTATCCCGAAAAAAAATGCCACATCTAATTCTGGAAAAAAGTCTATAGGGATCCGGGGCCTAGTGATAGTAGGATACAGTGTAGATACTAGCGATAATTTCAGAAACTTCCCCTGAGGTTTTTGACAGTCTCACTCTCCTCCCCTGTAGTTTCAAAAAATCACAAACCTCCCCTGAGGTTTAGGATTTTGTAACAAAATCAGCCCATGATATCAAAAGTGAACATAAAAAAGTGTTTTCAGGAAAGAGAGGGAATTTTGTTTCCATAAATGCCCCTGAGGTAAGTGTACAAATTATATTAGTGAAATAATGAAAACTAATAAAAATAAAAAATAAATTAGAAAAAAGGGATAATTTCAGATACAATATGTTATTCATCAATAATATTATATCAAAAACTTTTACTAGATGGTTATTTGTTCCAATTGCATATTAAATCAACTATTAGTGCTTATGAGAGTGCATTAAATATTTAGTAGAGAAGTAGTTTACTTCAATAAGTAGCATGTATATAAATACTTAGTGAATGTACAATCTGGTTGAAATAATGTACATCGTGTTATCGACCAAGTACGAATCATAGAAATTGTTGAACATGCAGTTATTTATTTACATGCATATTGCAATTAGTCATTGCAGCAATATGCATAGTGCAATGGTATGTATACATTTGGAATGGTTGTTAGTGCTTTGACCCACTTATGCATCTCCTTACAAGCTTCAGTGGGTATGTAATTTTATCTATATGACTAATACTAATTTACCTATAAACACCTTACACGGGGTGATCTATGAGGTACAATCAGTTTACAAATATCCATTATGTTAGATGTTAATTACTTGACTGTGTATATCTATAAAATGTAGTGTAATGGTATGCATAAATTTGGAATGGTTAGGTGTTAAAAAAATATATATCATGTTAGGTGTTAGGTATTTGACTATGTATATATGTAAAAGAAAGATTAGATATAGCATAGAAAAAAGTAATTACGTGAGTTGGAATATATTTGTTCTGATAATCACGAAATATTAGCTGACTTATGAGGGTATTTAAGTCTTTTTGGATGATGTAAGAAATGGGACCTAAATTCTGACAGAGGAGGTTTGTGATATTTTTGAAACTACAAGGGAGGAGAGTGAGACTGTCAAAAATCTTAGGGTAGGTATCTGAAATTATCCCTAGATACTAAAAGAATAATAAATATCAATATTAAAATAATAATTATAGACACTAACACAACAATAAGTAAAAATATAATAAATTTTCTATATCATCAAAATGTGTGCCCAAAAATTTTGTTGTGTTTTTTCAATCTTATTATGTTATGTTTACTACATTAACATCTACATTTTTTTTTTTTGGCATCATTGTGGGTATCTGGGCCCATGGACTGGTAATACCGTACGGCCCAACTAATCCCACAGCGGGTTGGGAGCGGCCTGCCCCAAGCATCACCAGCCACGGTAGTAGCCGGGATTCGATCCCTGGACGTGGCTCTCCCCCAACTGAGACTACAACCACGGGACCGAACCCAGAGGGGCCATTAGCATCTACATTTGTTATGGTAGTATCTGCATTATACTGTGTTGTCATCACTGGTGATAGTAGAATCTCTTGATTTAGTCAGCAGCGATTTTTGAGCTCAGATTCTGCGATGTGAGTGCAAAACATAATCATGGTAATAGATGAGGTGTTTTGAAATTAGGTGGAGTGGATTAAATGTAAGACATCTATTTTAATGTGTTAAAAAAATTTGTTGTATTTTTATATATTATTGTGTTAGTATTTACAACTGTTTTGCTAGAATGTATATCGTATCATGTAATTGAATATGGTAAATTATGGATGTCTTGTATCCTATCATTTTCAGACTCCATCAAAAACTTCAAATGCTGCCCACGTATAATTTTTTATAATTGATATGACTAAAATATTTTTCAAATTTTATGTATAATTAAACTTAATAAAAAAAGAGCTTGGTTCTTTCTTATATCCCTTCTTTTATTCTATTTTTGTATTATTTATTTTTCCTTTCTTAAATCCTTTAATCTTGTTTGTTATTTTTTCTTCCTAACCTACCAAAAACTTTAATCTAATTTTGTCGATACTTAATTATCAAACTAGCCAGTCAATGCTTGCCTGTGCCTATTATTAGCAGGCTGCCACTTCTGCATGGTCATGCCATCGTGGCTTTGTTGCAGATGGATTCTTGAAAAAGGAAGGAGGCTGGAGGTTTAAGTTCTGAAAATTTGAAAATAAAAGAGTAAATGCAAAAAGGAAAATATAACAGAAAAAATAGAGGAGAAAAAAGAAAGGAAGGAAAAAAAAATTAAAATGGAGAGCAGTGTATAAATTATCATCCTTTTGTCAATGCTGATGGTTGCCGTACAATTTTAACCTTGGAAAAATAGTAATTTTGATCCCTCATTTTTTAATTTTTGGCCAATCTAATCCGTTATCAATCACTGTAACTATTTTAGTCCCTTATCTTTATTAAAAAAACCACTCCCTAATCTCTAACAAAAAGTTATTAAAACTCTAGTGAATTTAGTCACATGCACAATATGTACGCCGTTAAAAATGATTGTTTTGATCTATTCTCTCCAAGGTCATGTCTAATTTTGTCCCTTTAGCAATTCAAACCCTTATTTTCACAAAATAAAGTTAATAAAGGATTTTTAATAGGAAATTAAAAAACCATAATCATACTGGTTCCTTACGCTGTAAGCCTCCTTTTGGAAAAAAAAAAAAAAAAAAAGTAGAATAGAACAAAAACAAATGCACACACGCACTTCACTTGGTATACAATGATATATAATGGATAAAATTAGAAACGATATTGATAATAATGGATTAAAATGGTCACTTTTAATGATGCACATACCATGCACGTGATGAACTCTATTAGAATTTTTTATTTTCCATTATAGGTCCTAAATTGGATTTTTGTTTTTTGGTAAAGATAATGGACTAAAATAGTCACAATAATAAATAAGGGACTAAATTAGTCAAAATTCCAAAGTTGAGGAACCAAAATAGTCATTTTCCCTTTAACTTTAATAAATGGTTCCATATTTCGATGTTCATTTTTGAACCATATAGAGTCATTCTACTTTTTTTTGGCAAATCATGAAGGATTTGGAATTTTATTTTTGAATTTATTAATTTGAGTGTTTTTCTCCAACTAAGTGTAAAAAGCTTTTTTTTTTTTGGTATAGGTGCAAAATACACCATTGGTCACTGAACTTTTATATAAATGTAGTGTCATCTTAGTCATTAAAATTTCGTGTCTCTCAATTGGTCATCCATTTATATAACGGTTAATTTCACATTCCTCCCTTGAGGTTTGCCATAGTTGCGGAAACCTCCCCTCACATTTTAGAAATTACACATACCTCCCTTATAAATTATTTGAGTCCCACAACAGACAGCAGAAAGGACATTTGGACATATTTACCCTCTAGAAACAAAAATATTTTATGAATTTTCCAACAAAATATCCATTCGTAAAATGCCTAATATAGGCTTCAGTGAAATCAACTAGGAAAAAAACATTCGTTGCTAATCAAGTAATGATCATATAAAATGTCATCATTTCTTATGAACTTCATGTCTACTAAATGCTATGCGTTGTAAGTCATATCAGGAGCCAAGTAGAAGACCCAAATTAGGCAAAAGTGAGGCAGGCACTGAATTATCAGGGGCCATGCTTTGGGTAACTTGTTTATTTTTGTTTGTTTCTATTTAGATTGCTATTTTTGAAGTTTTATAGAAAATTATATTGTAATGATTTGATGTGTGTGAGAAAAAAAATGATTGAGAAGTGTGTTCATAGAAAATACAAGAGTTTTTTTGATAGAAAACTACAATCCAAATACCACTGATCTAACTATTTCTGTTGGAGCATGCTACTGGAAATGTTCTTATTAGTCCACTTGAGTCATTGTGGCAATCAAAGTCTTGAAGTTGAGGTATTTAGCATAACGTACCTTGTACTTTACTTAAAGTTTTAATTAAATATTCAGCTTTGTTGACTTTTTTACACAGGAAACGCCTATGCCATTCAACTAGATAATCAAACTAATATGCAGGCCAGATCCAATCTTC